ATTTCTACCCCGAGGCTGCAGTCCCTCTCTCAGATCATGGAATGCAGGAGCCAGCTCCCTGAATATAATTTTCAAGTGGTTTTAAGCCTGATTTGCCACGTGGCATGAGAAGCTGTGTAGTTTTTCAACACGTCTGTGTCTGGTAAGTGGTAGAAATCTAGGTATTGATTGCCCCATCATTCTAGAAAATGCCTGTAGTCACAAGCAGTGTCAACAATATTGCTGGAACACTAAAACAAAGATAGAATACAAGAACTTTCCTCTTTATATTAAGCAAAGTCTGAAAAGCTTCACAGTTAAAACTGCAAAATATTAAGGTAAGCACTCAGTTATACTGGGAACTTCACTTAGTCAGGAAAAGAAATAAATTAATAACAAAAAGTACTTAAGGATGGTAAGAAATTTCAGCACCTGCTAGAATGATGTCTGCTAAGATACAGCACTGTTTTTCCTTTTGAATAAAGACCTTTTTACTCTCCTTCCTTTTTTTTTGTCATGAGCTGTTCACAGTTTATATTGTCGAAGTAAAATATAAAACTTCCAAAATATTTATCACAACTATTAAGGACATTTGTATTGCATGATTTTCTTATTACAGAACTCTTTTGATCAGCAAAAGATACTTAAAAGGACACTCTCTTCTAACCCTGGAGAATATCACAGAGTCAAGACAAAGTCAAGTCAATCAGCCCAGACACAGTGCATTTTGGATGAGATACAGTCAGCCTTGGAAGAAGATGCTTCAGGTTGGAACTGTGTTGATAGTTCTGAATAATTCCAGATACCACCAGTATGGAAATCACAGAATTTAAATTTTACCACATGAAACAGTTAAAATTGCTGCTTCCAAAATTATTATTAGAAAGACAGATGCTTCTGTAATGAATATCCTCGTATTGAAAAGTTAGGATCAACTTCAGAGTTGTGTGAGGTGCAAACCCATAATTCTGAGCATGCTATTTAAAAATAAAAAAATTATAATCAGTGCCAGATGAACAAGGCTGACAACAGTGACCTATAAAAGCAGTGCACAAGAAGTGCAGCAACTGCAGGCCTACAACAGAATGTCACAGACAAAACCCAACATGTATGAAACTAAATGAGTGATGTTAGAGAGGGTTGTTGTCCTTTTCCTCTGAAGTGCATAATTCAAAAGCTCAGTGTTTCAATTTTACAATAATAATATTAATAATAATAGTGGACTAAAACTATGCAAGAAGTTTTGGAACTGCTGTTTTCCCACTTTCCTCTGTTAGATATAAGCCAAAATATCTGAGAAAGCTCAGTCTCCCCACACATTATGTGTTGCATGTCCAAGACACTTTCACTGCTGTTTCCAGTAATTTAGCCTCCAGGAGACAGGTGGAAAGATTATCTATTGATCCAAAAGCTACCAAATCTTGATTTATTTTTATATTTTCACCATCCCATGGGTAGAGGGTTCCATCATTTACAGTTTATTCAGAACTTCAATATCATAGTGTTTTATTAAGGTGTAAATTGCTGCTCAAAAATATATCCGTCCTAATATTTTATTTTAAACATTGAACAACATCACTCTTTTAAAACTGTGCCCGTGTTCAATAGCCCTTTTAAAAGTGATGAAGAGAAGCTTAGTACTAAGAGGAAGAACATTTTGAACAACAGACATAGGCTGCATCAGTGCTTCTAAACAGAAATGGAGGTTTGCAATCACCTGTTTGCCAGCTTCAACTTTGCTACCTCCTATGGAATGAAAATTTGTATGTTCCTCATAAATGTATGATACAGTAAGTTCTCCTTAAATAAAACAATTTCTTTCAGCAGTTTTTAATTACCTTGTGACCAGTGAATTTGGTTCCAGTGTAGCATGAATGATAACAACTGTGTAGAAAGCTGGGGAAGCCACAAACTTGCAGTGCCAGAGAGTAAATAAATTCAATAAAATTAAAATGAGTCGTGGGCTGGACACGGTATCAGTACCTGAGGTGCACAGGTCTTACCCTTGGCCTGGATCCAAGTAAGTTTTATCTAGATCTGTACAAACCAAGTTTGAAACAAAATAAAGAAATAATGAAAACTGTATCTGTTAATGGCTGAGGAAGATTTTCTTGTCATATTTTATGTATGTTTTTTGTGCAGGCCACATCACCACAATATCTGAATCCCTCCAAGTGGTGAATCAGTGAATTAAGTGATTTGTTCAATATCAGCCATGTGTAGTTGCTTCTTTTATCTTTTCCAAAGTGAGAAAACTTGTGTGTAGGGGAGTATTTCACTTTGATTGGTTTGTGGCTGTTGTTTTTCATGTTTTGCATAATTCACTGTTGTAACCACTTCTTGTCTTTTGGCAATAACCAAGGACTTTCAGAAACATTATCAATGACTGCAGTTTGATTTGAAGCACCAGTTAGGATTAGGGCTTGATCACAATGGTTCCCAAGTGGCAGCTGCTACTATTAATTGATATTTACCCATAATCATGTACTGGCATCTAAGCTTCCAAAAAAAAAAAAAAAGAATTGGCTGAGGAATTTATATTTATAATGATATTAGAGGTTGCCTAAGATGGAGAACTTTTTCACTCTCGAGAACAAAGGCACCAATTGTTTGGGGTCTGGTGATCTTTTTTTTTTCACTTGTAGATGATACACTGAATATTTCTGCATTTCTGTGTATTTTTGAAATAGAGTTTCCAGGATCACTGTGGTGAGGACACAGTCCTGCTCTTCTAGATAAACTGGATTTTACAGCTTACTGAGGCACCAAACATTCAGGAAAGGCAACTGGTGGGACTTTCCTAAGGGACAAGGCAAGTGCAACTTCCAAATCTCATTGATTTTCATTAGGTAAAACACATGCATTGTTTGGTTTTTTTTTTTTTTTTTGGAAGGAGGGGGAGTCATGCATCTGTTAGAAATTCTTCCCCAAGGCAAGAATATCCTGCTATCACTTAAGAGTTGTGTCACTTAATTAAACTCAGATTATAAAGCAGCACACACTGCCAGTTGAGAAAACAGTGATAGCTTTCAGGGAAGGACCATCCCATTTAATTTTACTATCAAGAAATACTGAATCAAATCTAGTTATTTTAGCTCCTTCTATACTCAGTATAAAGTGACAGGCACTTTTAGAGCACCCATCTGTCTTGCATACTTGTTTTAATATGGAATACATGTCACCACATGGGATTGCTCCTCTCCATCAACAATAGAGGGGATCTTGAAATGCTTGATGATTAATTCTTAAAAAAAAATAAGTAACATGAGATAAACTGCCGACTTAATAACTATAAAGACTGTCCAACCCTCCTAAGGATCAGGCTGGAGACTGTGTCTTGGAAAAATTTTGTGTGTTTTGGATGATTTTTTTTTTCCAGAGAATTAAAAAATACAGGATCATAAAGGTGCCTTTTTTACAAGCTTCCACAAAAGATATCCCAGTCCTTCCAGGATGTGATATTTTGAGGTCCTGAAAATAATTTGCTTTCTTCTCACTGTCTAAAAGAAACACACTTCATAATTCAGACTTGGGATTGGGTCTGTTCAGTCTCAGGTTCTTTTCAAACTGGCAGCTTGTCCCAAGTGGGGTCTCTCAAATATTGATATTGGGCTCAACATTGTTTAATATCTTCCTAAGTGACCTGGTTGATGGGATCAAGGGAACCCTGATGAAGATTTCTGCAATGCCCAACTGAATGCAAGGAAAGGTTGAGGGTGCTGGGTCACAGAAACACAAAAACACCACAACCTAATGAAGAAAACAAACAAAAAAACCCCAAACCTCCAGTTTAGCTGGATTTCTCTAATCTGAGCTTTCTCAGATAAAGACATATGCCAACATCAGCCTCATTTGGAACTGAGGTTCGCTGATAACGGTGGAAAACAAGTAAATGCAGTTGGAAGAGCCAGGACTAATAACCTGATTCAGGTTTTCTGATATGTCCTCAAGAAATCTCTGGCAGTGTGTGTGTAATGGGATCCCTATCACTGTGAATTCAGGTGATATGAGTGTTAGCATGCAAGTCTACTTCTGATCCAGGTTTCTGTCCTAATGCCCTTGAAGTCTGTGAAGCTTCCCCTCACTCCTTTCTGTTTGAGGGGCTGACTTTGTAACAATACGTATTAAAATTTAAATCTGGCAGAATAGTTCTTGTCATTAAATAGCATCTTTTCCTTTGCAGTGCTTACTCAGAGGAAAACATAAGGGTTTTCATAGAAGAAGCTGCCTGTTTCTATTCAGAAAATGTCAGTACAGAAAATTGATGCTGTTACACTTAAACGCATATAAAAAATAGAATTTCTGAGGAAAGAAATGTGCATGATGTAAACTGTTATAAAAACATCAGCTTCACTGAAGCCACACTAATTTACACCAGCTGAGAATCTCCCCACTCATCATATAAATAAAATCTTGCAGATGCTTCCATTTAGAAGGTCAGAAATGTTTACTCCAGAATTCAAAATTATTCTAATTTCTTTACAGACTTCTACTTGCAAAGCGTCCAGTACAAACTCCTCATTTAACCACCAGCTGCTTTCCAGCTGCAAATTGCAATCTGCTTTTAAATGGCTCCTGATGTCTTCTCTTAATCTAAAATAACTGGAGAAAAAAGCAGATAGGATACATTTTTTCTTTCCCTTCAGATATGTAAACCTGTAGTAAAGGACTATGCAAATGAAAAATGTTAAAATTTACCCATTCTAACAAAAGGTCTTGAGAAAAGCCTATTCTATTAAGCATAATAATGTTCCTGAGTCATGAAGTAGTTATTAATGAAGCCTCCTATAATGTATTCTGTTCAAATTTTATCAGTTAAAAAGGTGATGCAATATGAGGCGACTGAGAAAAGAGGAGGGGTAGAGAAAGACANCTTTTCTTCATGCCACGTGTAATGTAATGTCATGTCTAAATAAGGACACCAACACTTTAAACCTCTACATGTGGCAAGACCAATACTAAGTGGAAAAGTTTATGATTCCCTCGAAAAATCAAGAGGCATTATAAAAATCATAGCTTACCTGTCTTCGAAGGTCTCGTGTTTTCTTGGTCATCTTGTCAATGGCAATGTTGAGTGGGTCCCCTTTCTCCTTCCTTCCAGTCTGTTAAGAAAACCAAAATCACAGAGTTAGAGAAAAATACTCCAAATAATATACACTTCTAAAAAAAATAGTACAGACTTATCAAAGGAAACCTGTGTATCTTTTTTTTTTTTTTTGCTTGCTTCCATCAAGCTGTTATTTCCAATGTAGTGTTTTTAACATGTTTATGTGAGGGAGGCGTGGAAGATTATTTAGAAACAATCCTAAAGTGATAAGAACAAAGATGAAGGTGACTCACCGGAGAGTTCAGAACTTTTCCACCACTAAATTATGTGCATATATTATAGTTAATACTCAAAAAATCTGGCAAGACCTTTCGCTATAAAATGAATATTAAGAGTTTCTAATCTCCATCCTGCCAGGCACTGGGAATGTTAAACATGATAATAAGCAGCAACACAGCTTGAGGACAGAAGGAAAATGGTCCCTACGCCTGTAGCAGGAATCATATTGGCAGACGTTAGGTGCAGTATAAAGAAAAATTCCACTTAAAACACTTTCCTGCAGGAAGTCTCAAAGCAAAACTCCTCACGAAGATTAAAAAGGGGGGAAAAAAGCCTTTTGTGGCTTGTAACCAATGGGGAAAAAATACTTTTTTTAGGTTCAATGACACAAAAAGCATTAAGTGACTTTGTTAGCTGTATTACCTTTCTCTTAACAGAAAACTGCTTCTCTAAAGATTTGTCACATCTCTTGCACATTGAACTCTGTTTGAAAGCTTTTCATCAAGAATCAGAATGATCTTCCATTCTTCCTGGCAGTACTCTTTCCTTCCCAAGGCTGTTTTCAAATACTCCTATTTAGAATTGTTCCTTGCATATGATTAAGAGCGATTTTCCGTCTCCAGCTGAGCCTAATAGCATACTTTTCTGGGAACTATTGAGAAGTCACTTTTGGGGTGGGATGGGGATTAAACATGCCCTTTCAACAGTGATCTCTCACATGGACTGCACGGTTAACAGCTCTACATTGGCAAGTGGCCTCTGTTCCAGCCTTTGCTTTAAGCATTCATTCCAGAGAACGCCTGCTTTCTGTTATTGCCTGTAATTCTAATTATGACATGAGGCCAAAGCTTTTTATGATCATTTAGAAATCTGCAAAAACCCATCCCCTTTTTTCATTTAGAAATTCAAACACAACAATATCAAGTGCCACCAGAATTTGATACAAAACATAAATTTACCTCTTAGCTCTCTAAAAAGAATCCATTACAAATTCTGGAGTTAATCATACAAATTGACACCAGAAAACAGAGAGAGAAAGCATTTGCTATCACACAAGAGGAGGCATCTGTGTCACCCGGTGATATTTTTATCTCACTTTTCTTGTCTTCATCCTTTGACTGAGTTCTTCTGGTCCCCAGCTGAAGAGCTAAGTCTCTTTAGCCTAAGCAGTGTCAGCACAGACTTTTAGTTTTAGATGTCCTGAATTCGGTCCCTGTTATTTCGTTCGAGGCAGCAGCTGTCACATGTGCACACAATCAAAGCTTGCTTTTCAGGCTGAAATTTCACAATAAAGCTGAGGCAGATAAGTTTGGTACAGGAAGCCTCTCCTGGCTGTCAGAATGGTACAGCAGGGACTACCAGATGAGCCAGTCTCAGCCAGGTTCTAGTTAGTTAGACTACGAAGCTATATTCTAAGAAAACTTAAAAGAAGAAAATTACTCCAGCTGTGCACTGTGCACTTGCTGAACCAAGTTTTCTTGGTGACATCACTGTTCTGGGATGCTTTATTTTCCCAATCAAATAATTCAAATTCTTTAATATTGTTTAAATTCTCCTCTTCCTTCTCATTGTTAAAGTTTTAATGGACTGGCTCAGAAAGATCCATAACCACACAAAATACGTTAAGACATTTTTTTCTAGGGCAAAGATAACCTTTGTTTGGCTTTTTTTTTTCATTTGTAATAAAATCAGGGAATAATTTGCTAAACTGGGGAAAATTACTGTGAATATTAACACAATGTAAACAGTAAAAGAGTAAACACCATGATACTTAACTTAGGGATCCTATTTTACAGCTCTCAAACAAAACAACTAGTTAACAATTCTTATTCACTCATCTCATGCAGAGCAGATATATTTTGTGTTCACCACCTACATGGTGAGGTCAAGCAATTAATGCCTGGCACCCATTTAGGGGTTCAGAAAGTTGTCCTTGAACAGGAACTTGGGACTTCTTCCAGGGTAGTCAGCTATGGGATACAGTGACACTCAATAAATTATGCATTTAATAAACTGCACCATCTAGGAGAAAGGGCTCCTGGCCATTGGAAAAAAAAAGTATAAATTTTGAGATTGACCTCAAAGTTTGTAATTTAGATTCCTAATTTGGGTGTTTTGTACTGCTCATAGGAGGGAAACTTTCACTGAGAGTAGGCCCATGGTAGTCTACATATAGAACCTCTCCCAAGCCTCTCTTCAAATTTATCCTGTATCTTTTTGAGTCTGGCTTTAAATTAACAGTGTTTATGCAAACAGTGGCCCTTGGGGTGCATCCTATTGTGAAACACAAAACAACTGGGAGCCCTTCCGTGACCCTTAGGCCACACAACACAAACTGTCAACGTCCATCTGGTCGGTCCCTTCTCCCTCCAAAACAGAAAAGAGCCTGTTCTCAATTGCTCTGTGCAATTGCCCAAATCATGCCTCCACGCTGTCTGAGATGCTAAATGGGATGAACCAGCCTGTGCTGGAAAACAGGCTCCCAAACCAAGTGGATGGAGATCCAGTTGAGCTCTCTCAATGTCAATATTTTATTAACACATAAAAATATGGATGCAGTCTCAAATATTCTGCACAATTTTTGTATTTATCCATGAATTTTAGGTGTCCTTCACCTGTTACTTATGAAATGGCTACTGCCTTTTAATCTGCACACAAAACCCCTCCTTCACCGTAGGATTTCAAAGAAGGAGAAATTTGTTTAGTAAATCACATTATTGAAAAATAACTAGCGTGGCATGTGATGCTACATAGCTTCAGGGAGGTCTGTCAAACACCATCTGCTCTGTGCTGCAAATATAAGTTTATTAAAGTTTATTTATTTAAGTCCTTAAATACTCTTATATTATTGTTGCTCTGTGATAATTTTTTGGCCTTCATTCCTAGAAGAGATAGAAAGGAACTTAGTGGTTTCCTGAAAAAACCATAAAGCTTAGTATTGAGGCTTTTGCCATTTCTCTGTTAATCTTTTTCCAGAGAAAGAGAAGAAAGATAATTTGGGCTAAAAAGGAAGCAAAAATTGCTGCTGGCATTGGGTTAAAAAGAGAAGGAGGAGAAATGCACAGAAGTCCTTGAATGTCAAAATATCGGCATTCAGAGTCCCTATGGACAGAATTACATCTATTCATGGTGTAATGAGAACTTTGCTACAGGAGAATATATTAATCAAGCCCCTGATTTCTTGTGACCATTTAACAGCATTTGCATACTGCTTGCACTCGAGATATTTTCAAACAATTTTCTCAGTCTGTGTTACTTCCATCCTAATTTCCTTAGAGCTTTTCCCTGCCTGTTTGATTTATTCTCAGCTGCTCAGGATGAGCTAATTCCCACGGGATCCTGACCAGGGGCTGTGCTGGCTGCAGAGTCCTCCAGGTCAGGAGTGGGTCTTCCATTGCATTTCTACCCCGAGGCTGCAGTCCCTCTCTCAGATCATGGAATGCAGGAGCCAGCTCCCTGAATATAATTTTCAAGTGGTTTTAAGCCTGATTTGCCACGTGGCATGAGAAGCTGTGTAGTTTTTCAACACGTCTGTGTCTGGTAAGTGGTAGAAATCTAGGTATTGATTGCCCTATCATTCTAGAAAATGCCTGTAGTCACAAGCAGTGTCGACAATATTACTGGATCACTAAAACAAAGATAGAATACAAGAACTTTCCTCTTTATATTAAGCACAGTCTGAAAAGCTTCACAGTTAAAACTGCAAAATATTAAGGTAAGCACTCAGTTATACTGGGAACTTCACTTAGTCAGGAAAAGAAATAAATTAATAACAAAAAGTACTTAAGGATGGTAAGAAATTTCAGCACCTGCTAGAATGATGTCTGCTAAGACACAGCACTGTTTTTCCTTTTGAATAAAGACCTTTTTACTCTCCTTCCTTTTTTTTTTGTCATGAGCTGTTCACAGTTTATATTGTCAAAGTAAAATATAAAACTTCCAAAATATTTATCACAACTATTAAGGACATTTATATTGCATGATTTTCTTATTACAGAACTCTTTTGATCAGCAAAAGATACTTAAAAGGACACTCTCTTCTAACCCTGGAGAATATCACAGAGTCAAGACAAAGTCAAGTCAATCAGCCCAGACATAGTGTATTTTGGATGAGATACAGTCAGCCTTGGAAGAAGATGCTTCAGGTTGGAACTGTGTTGATAGTTCTGAATAATTCCAGATACCACCAGTATGGAAATCACAGAATTTAAATTTTACCACATGAAACAGCTAAAATTGCTGCTTCCAAAATTATTATTAGAAAGACAGATGCTTCTGTAATGAATATCCTCGTATTGAAAAGTTAGGATCAACTTCAGAGTTGTGTGAGGTGCAAACCCATAATTCTGAGCATGCTATTTAAAAAAAAAAAATTACAATCAGTGCCAGATGAACAAGGCTGACAACAGTGACCTATAAAAGCAGTGCACAAGAAGTGCAGCAACTGCAGGCCTACAACAGAATGTCACAGACAAAACCCAACATGTATGAAACTAAATGAGTGATGTTAGAGAGGGTTGTTGTCCTTTTCCTCTGAAGTGCATAATTCAAAAGCTCAGTGTTTCAATTTTACAATAATAATATTAATAATAATAGTGGACTAAAACTATGCAAGAAGTTTTGGAACTGCTGTTTTCCCACTTTCCTCTGTTAGATATAAGCCAAAATATCTGAGAAAGCTCAGTCTCCCCACACATTATGTGTTGCATGTCCAAGACACTTTCACTGCTGTTTCCAGTAATTTAGCCTCCAGGAGACAGGTGGAAAGATTATCTA